ATTTTTTTTTTATAATTAACTAGCCTCTTTGGCTTAAGATTTTTATTTAAACATAGATAGGGTGGCTCACAACAGAGCCATCTTTTACATTAGAGAGACGTCAATATGGTATTCTTTCAAATATATTTATCATTTTATATATTATAATAATTTTTGCAAAATAAAGTTGCAATTAAATAGAGGTTGAGTATAGGGATCTTGAGAATGCCTTTGGTTAAGAACATGCTTTTTTTAGAAGTCAAAGCATGAAAAAAAATTTGTTAACTTGTCTTTTGGGAATCTTATTCCAGTTCTTATTTATGCTTCTATTTTCGCGCTTATTGCCAGTTCTCAGATTCAAACTAATTTGGAATCTTTATATTTCTATTTAATTATACAGTTTTTTTTACTTTTTTCAATGATTGTTACGAACATATCGGCTGATTTTATTTTTGGGCCTCTTTTTAGATAAACAGTTACACGAATTTTGCTCTTAAGTAACGTTGAAAAAGTAATTAACGAAGCACTTGTTGCAACTAATAAAAGAGATTTTTTGGCACCTAGACAAGATAAAAGACAAATAAAAGTTAATAAAACAACTATTATAAGCAGTATGAAGAAGTACTTGTACCGGCTGTTAACATATTCTAGGATCCAAATATGGAACTATGGTTACACAAAGCATCAGCCAATCATACCGCTGTCATCTGCACGTCAGCCAATCAGATAACAAAAAAAGGTTACAGGATTAATAGGGATTAAACAGATACAGTCACACAGTCACACTCCCACATAATCACACCATCAGGACCCGTGAAGTGTTCTTATATAGAAGACACAATAGAATATGCTTATATAGAGAATTAATTTATATATTTAATAGTTGGTACAAAAAATAAATGTGCTTCTAAACATGATGTGCTTATATAGGAGGTATATTATAAAGCGAAGTGAAAGAATTAATGCATCAGTTAAATTTACTCACGTTTTATAGAAAGTTAAGCTACCCGAGATTTTTTAAAAAAGTATTATAATATGTACAGTATAAAAATTATTTATCAATTGTATAACTACGGATAATTACAGCATTTTCAAATTTGGGACGGCTCTCCTCATGTTTGCAACGGTCCAAGAATGGATTTAGAAGCAATTTTTCAAAAAAACAAACGGTCTTTTAACCCTACTTTTACCTATAATAAAATGCATAAATACAGAAAAACCTCTATAAGTGCAACAACATGCACTTAAGAAACAGTAAGAAAAAGTGCATTTATAGAGATCACGTAATATATTTGGATCAGAATTGGAGTGTGCATTTTGAGAGGGTGTGCACTTCTAAAGTAGGGTGAGAGGCACAAGGTTCATGGGCATGCTCCTTGTGCATGCCCTTTGCATGCCCAGGGGCATGCCTTTAAGCTAGAAGAAATGCCATCTTATTTGATATTTTAAAAAAACGTCATGTTAAATGAATGCGTCTTCTGATTGGTTAATATTACCGTACCGCACTGCCTTTAGTACCCAGGTCTTATCAAAAAAAAAAAGAGTTTTCTACATGGCAATATACCCATGGGTACTTAACCAAGAGTGGGTACACAAGCTGGGGTACTGTGACATGGTTGTATTATGCCTCAATAATTTTCAATTAAATCTATTAAATCTTAATACCCGGATCTTATACAATTTTTCGAGATTTTTTGTTGTAATGTATCCGGGCATTATTTTAAGGGGAGTATTAAATAGGAGGGTACTAAAGGCAGTGCGGTACGGTAACTGTTTTTAAAAATAATTTGATACAGTCAACCTTCCATAAGTGATGTCATTGGGATGAATATGAACTTAATTACATAATTTGCAAACAAATTATTCGTATATAAAATAATTTTGTAAATTAATTGTCTGCAAACTAAGTTATCTGTAAATGATTGTTACATAATGAGTGGTACCAGATTAAATGATGTGAACTTATAGAGAAAAAGTAGAGGGTGCACTTATAGAAAGACTATATATATGTTTTGGAGGCATGCCTCTAGTCCAAGACACGCCCACGGAGGCATGCCTAAAAATTTTCTCGCGCCCCTCACCCTATTCTAAAGGGTGCACTTACTGAGGTTTTACCATATCGCAATTTTCTACGTATTTAATTAGAAATACAAAGTTAAAATACCGTTTTTATGAAAATTCGATTGTAATAAATTTTACGTACAAGATATTTAATAATCCTCAATTATGATTGGTTGATTGTAGGGTCAAACCAAAATCAGCCGATATGCTAACGAAAAATAAAAGTTGCTAACTAAAGAAAAAGGAAGATATTAGAAAAAAATGAAAGAACAAATTTTTATGCATGCAATACCTTACAGAGTGCTAACGTTGATTTTAAAAATAGAAATAGAAATATAATAAGAACCGGGAAATGAATCAATTATCCACGAAGTGGATAATAACAAGACCCCGAAATATCTACAGAAAGCGTTGTGCGTTATGTTTTTGACTATTTAATTAAAGTTAGGGTAAGGGACAGTTTAGGGTTAGGGGTAGGGCACGTCTTATAGGCTAAATCACTTTCCAGACTAGCGCTGTAGATTTAATTAAAATAATTTGCTTATTTTAAACGCTAAAAATCAAAATCAATTACATTTTTGTATTTTTAATAATTTCAAAGGCCGATAGTATTGTGTAACATGCACTACAAGAACAACGTACGGTACGTATGTACGGTACCGTACGTACAATAAAGAATTACATCTATTAAATATTAACTTCAGTTTGAGATAATTAGTTTGACGTGTTACGTGTTTAAATTTGTAGAAGTCAATTCATCCATTGTAGTAATAAGACAAGTTCAAAGAGATAACAATAAAGCTAGTTTAAATAAATTGATCATATTATATATCGCTGATAAAATTATTATTGAATTACAGTAATAAATTTTCGTTCTTATAATTCTGAAATTAATTGAAATTTTTGTAATTACTAAACTATAATCTATTTTGTAAATTAACTTATTATAGCTATTCCCGACATTTTTTATTAGTGCACCAATATAGGTTTTGACAGTGTTTCTTGTGTTGATCAAAACAAGCAAGTTGATTGGCCATGTGTCACGTGATTATACAACGTTTTAAAGACTCCATTTTTGATGCATTTGGGGCGGTGGTTTATAAAAAAATCAAAAATACGATTTATGCAATATGTAGATCAATATCAATTATTGTGACATTAAAATAAAATCAGATTAAAATGAAATGAGAGATAGTGTAAAATAGACAAGCCACAAATTTTTGGAGTGCATTTTTTTAGAGTTATGATTAGGGTTTAGGGGTAGGTTTTATAATAAACAAGTATAAGTGGGTTTTAGGGGGGCAAATAGAAACCTCTCATTTCATTTTAATCCGATTTCGCGACAATTATTAACGTTTTAACACATAATGCTCTGCATGGCGCAATTAATCGAAATAATATACATACCCCCCTTAACGTTAGCATAATACCCTTCCTTCCATTTTTGGTAATCTTGGTGTAAAAGGACTGGATATGATGTATTAATAATGGATTTGTAACATATCCGGGTATTTTAATCAGAAAAAATCGCTTGATTAAATATGAATCGGCATCTATTTTAAATAGTATTCAATAATAGTACCTTCTTCCGATCACAATATCCTCCTAGTATAGTAACCGGGTATAAATAAATATATTATAATATCCCGGGGTTATGATTCCACAAAATACGGGTATCAGTAATAGATGCGTTACAAAATGGCAGAGTAATTAGATTAGTCTATATTAAACTTTTCAATCTGCGAGCAACTTCTAATGAAATATTTCGATTATTGTCAAAATTACGATGAATAATATTCCTGGTATCTTACAAAGTGCTAGAGATAGGTCAGAGTCTTGGTTTCGTATTTGTAAGCTCCATAGCAAATAAAGGGATGGAACAGTGCAAATCCCCACTTTTTGCTATATGGTCTCCCACTTACATTACGAAGGGATATACATGAATCGACTAGATGTTCTGTGCATTTAAATACTGCATGGAAAACCTGGAATCTTTTAAATACATTACTACATGAATCTAAGAATGCGAGATATTTTTATAAGGCAGAAATTTTGTGAGGTGTTTTACGTATGCAGTGGCTAAATATATAATTTTTTAAGAATAGAATAGTAAATTGACAATGACGTTAATAATGCGAATTTTAGAAATTGTCGTGGAGGATTTTAATTTCTCGAAAAATATTAAAGCAGCATTCGGAATCGTTTTTTTCTCATCTGTGTGTGTTCTTTTTTTTTTTAGAATAAACATTAGTTGTTGTTTTCAATAATTCATAAATTTATCGAAAAAAACATGATTCGATTTGCTAAAAAAAACTTAATATTATTAATAGGGCTAATTTTGATAATAAGCACTATAGTAATTCATACCAATGGAGAAACCCGAAATATTTGCCGTTCGTTCGAAGACCATTTTCACACAAATAAAATTGTTTATAAAACGGATTATAATAAAGACCCAAAGTCAGCTAATTGGGTTGATGTTAGTCAAGCTAGAGGTGCCTATTCAATAGATTCCGGGAAACTAAAGGCTATGTTGCACAAACCTGTGGGAGGTCAACATATGGCGAAAGATGAAGATGGTCCTTACAACAAAAATATAGGAAAAGGTCTCGCTATGAATAGCACTTATAAGATGCTATATGGTATAGTTAGCGTTGAAATGAAGGCTTCTGGTGTTGGCGGTGTTGTCACAGCTTTATGTGTAAGTAAATTTTGTCACCTTGTCCAATTTTTTCATATTGGCTGTTTAAACCGTATGATACAACATCATAACTTATAGCATGTGAATTTACATGCTCAGTATTTGTACTGTATTTTTTTGGTGGCTTGCTTATTTTATACTGTCCCCAATTTCATTTAATCTGTCATGATTCTTTAGCATCATCCAACATTTGATTGTGAAATCGATAAACTATTAATAATCATTAAATAATCTTACCATTTTTTTTTTTTTTTAGACTATGTCCACAGATGGAGACGAAATCGATTGGGAAACTGTAGGGAAAGATCTAAAGCGCGCTCAAACGGACTATTTTTACCGAGGTATTCACAAAACTGGAGTTGATTTTGTTGCCCATACGCTTCCTGGTGGCAAAACTTTTGACTCTGACTTCCACACATACACAATAAATTGGGGTCCAGAAAGAATTATATGGTCAATCGATGGTGTTACAGTTCGTACCTTGGAAAAATCTTCAACCTTCGAAGATGGTGTATATAAATATCCGAGTAGACCTTCATATATTACATTGAGTCTCTGGGATGGTAGCGGTGGTAATGGAACTGCTCGGTGGTCTAATGGCCCTATCAATTGGGATGAACAACCTGACATAATTGTATCTTATTTTAGGAAAATTAAGGTTATGTGCAATCCTAAATACAATAAAGTTATTCGCTGATAACGATAAACGAACTATCAGAATAGAATAGAATTTTTGTTTAGTTAATCCGCGCAAATTTAATCCTAATGACCATTGTTATAAAAATAAATATATATATATGAAAAAGTTGCATAGGGATAAGTCGAATCATAAATTTTGATAAAAATAAATCGGATGTCTAAATCATTAATAAAAATAAATCGGATGTCTAAATCATTAATAAAAGATAAAATATCGAAAAATTAATTTAAAAATTATTAGGTACGTACCTACCTAGTTCAGAATCGATGTAATTGTTATAGACAATAAACAAAAAGACGGATTATTTAAGACAGTCAAGAGCGGCTCAGACAGTTTAATATCAATACTGTGTCTAAAGGTGATACTTATAGCAAGTGATATCAAACGATTACGGGTATAGAAAACTAGCTGTCCTACCATAGTTTTCACAAGCAATACGATATAACACCAATATACTTCCATAACACTAGAATCTGAGCTTAAGAAACCGAATCGAATTACAACATCAAAAAGTATGTTTTTACATAGTTCTATGTAAAATTTTTATGTAAAGTTATGTAGAATTTTTATTAAATTTTATAAAAATTTTAAACCCAATGTAGATTTACATATTTGATTTTTACTTCAAATAACCGGCGACCACCCATTGTGCAGTTTTTAGGGTAAGAGTTAGGTTTTGGGGGATCCGAACATTTTTTTGGCTTAGTACACCTGACGTGAATTAGCTAGTAGATTTTTGAAATATAGCACCCCGGTGATAATCACCACTGGTTATAGTTAGTAATATTCTTTTATATATCTTTATATATAAGTTTTATATAAAAAATATACTTTGTGATGGGTCGCTTGACGGGATTTACGTGTTATTCATCACAATTTTTATCACAAATTTATTTCTTTTTTTTTCTTACAATGATTAATAACAGGAGTCCCTGTCATGTCGCCTTATGGAACGGTGAATAACTCATTTATTTCACCTGTCGGGGAAATAATCGAAACATTCTCCAAGTGGCGCACTTATGGGGCGGAAAGAGCTCCAAATATGCGCTAGGTTCCCGCCGCCTCGGGGGAATAAATAGTATTTAACCTTTAAATATAATTTTAACGTCTACTCTAAAATTTCACGCTTACGCAACTATGTCTACACTACGCATTACTTGAATGTGTGCTAGGTTGTGGCGCAACAAAAATTCTTTCAAGTTCGAGTTAGGGTTACGGGTTAGATGAAGACTTAACGAAAACTTTTATTAGAGCACCAAAAGTGGTTTCTTATGTAGAATTTCGAGAAAATCTGCGCCACAAACCTAGCAAGAGTTGCCTACACTACTACTGTACGTAATGATCTCATAACATGAAAGTAGTTTTTTGTTCTAAATTTTTACAACCGCGTATACATGGCGTATACACGGCATATACACTGCTGGGGTTATTCACATGTAGAGTTATGTTACGAAAATTCTTACATTTCATGTAATTTTGCGTAAATTCCAGCATATGCTCCGATTTTTGGAATTTATAAAAAAAACTTATTTTTTTAAAACTTTAAAGCTAAATAATTTTTGATCTAATGATCCATTTTAAATGATTTTACTACCAAAATGTTTGTCTCTTTGAGACGATTCCAACGAGCCCAAAATCATAAAAATCTAATCACAGAATCATGAGAAAATGTGCTATCAAATAGGTGATGCACCTGAAATTGGTTTGACATATATCAAACCAATTTCAGATACGTTACCTATTTGATGGCGCATTTTCTCATGACCCTGTGATTGGATTTTTATGATTTTGGACTCGTTGGAATCGTCTCAAAGAGATAAACATTTTGGTAGTAAAATCATTTAAAATGAACCAGTAGATCAAAAATATTTAGCTTTAAAGTTTTAAAAAAATAAGCTTTTTTTATAAATTCCAAAAATTGGAGCATATGGTAACTCGGATGTCATGTAAGTTTTACGCGTGATATATAGTACCAGCACTATGACAATTTAGCTAGCATTATTGAAACTAAAATGATTTTACATCAAAATCCCGACATCCAAAATTTCGACAAGCTATAATACTAACATCACGCGATGTGTCAATTAATATTTAAAGCCTGACAATGATTGTTAATATGATTACTAATCTTTAAAAATTAATTGTCACGTCGGGATTATGGTTTCGACATTTGGATGTCGGGATCTTGTGGTAGAACCAACTAAAATAGATCAAATCTATGCACATATAATCCAGCCAATCACATGGAATCATATATTAAATGATCACGTTTCTTACAAATTACATGAAATGAAACACAAAATTAAGCAAAATTACAACCATATTCGGTTGTTACGATAGGGAGAACCTGTGTTAATATGCAGCCACAATTAGCTCAGGTCGTAAGCATTAATTATTGACGATATAATGAACGATTAGAGTATTGCGCAAGAAAAATGTAATAATAAAAACTATCACGAATTTTTCGTAACACGGTCTTCGTAAAGACTGGAACCAACGATAACGGACTGAGGACCGGATGGTTTTCGATTTTCGATCCTAGCTGATTTAAAAAAGAATCATTGAAAAATAACAGCACAGTTACTTCCTCTAACGTCTCTTCTATTTTTCTATTCCTGTTCTTTCAGCCTATTTTATTTCTTCTGTTCCTATTTTATCCTACTTCGTTTACCGCATCTATATCCACTACCTTTATTGTTCCTTATTTTTTTTTTATATTACCAGCAAATGAGCCATCAAGTAATCTATGGAATGAACTAAATAAGTATTTACTATTGCCATTGGGGGATAATTCGAACCCGTTAGTATGGTGGCAAGTGCAGAAAGAATACCCTACTTTAAGTTTAATTACTTATTTATCTATAATAGAGTTAACACTTCACTATGTTTTATATCCGGATTTAAATTACTATGTTTTACTATAATTTTTGACAAAATATCAATCTGGATATAAATATATCCGGATTGAAGTATTAACTCTAATCTATAGATGCCACAGTGTTACTTCAGAACAAGCATTCTCCGTAACAGGTCGATGCCATCTAAAAGGAATAAATTAGACGATGAATCTGCGAGAAATTTTCAATTTGGATAATTAGAAAACTATTGCAATTACTTGTTACATTAAATTAACTATATTAAATTAGCTCGCACAAAAAAAAAAGAAAAAAAAGAAAAAAAAAAGGTATATCTTAGGCCATACAAACTTATATTTTCGGTTTCCATATCACCAACTGGCATCTCATGACCTGGATTTTACTTTTTTTTAAAGGAATTTTTATAACAACCAGATTCCTGGAAAAAATTTCATATGTAAATAATTTTTTAATAAAACTATACAAACTTATATTATCGGTCTTCATACTGTAACACTGACTAAACTTTGGTGACCGGCGACAGATTTTAAATTTTTTTTTTTTTTTTAAAAAATTTTTAATAAAAATTTTTTTGACATTCAGCCAGAATACCTGGTAAACCGATTTTATATTCTAAAGAATTTTTTAATAATCAAATACATACGAACAGATTTGTATTTTTACTGGGCATGAAAGGTGATCTATCATTCCACAAAATTGAATAAAATTTGAATCAATTACTATATATGCTATGTAGCCTACACATCTTGCACATGAAATACACATTACCCTATGAAAATTTTTCCAGATTATTGTTCCATTATCGTTCTGTAAAATGCTCATTTTTCAGAACAAAAGCATACAAATTCTTGATCATTTCCATAGAATCCTGGTAATTTTCGGGTAGAAATCAAATCCGGGTAAGATTCGCTTCTAAAAGCCGGGATTTGATTTTTATCCAGAATTTATTAAGATTCTATGGAAATGACCAAGAATTTATGTATGTTTTTTTTCCGAAAAATAGTCATTTTCCGGATCGATAATGGAACGATAGTCTGGAGAAAGCCGAGATACATTTTCAAAAATTTTTATAGGGATGATCATTATAGCATGCAGTATTAAGCCATTCAGGTCAGCCAGATCGGAATACTAAATGCAACGGTTTACAATGAACTTTTAAATAAATATAATTACTGGTGAGCTGATAGATCTATAATTTGTGTGTAGGCGCTGATTTTGTTAAAGTTTACAATATTCTTACAACAAAAGAAATGTTTAAAACTATTGAGTCAAAATTCATGCTATGCCGAAAATTGGATACTTAAAGAAAGTGTAACATCTTCTGAAAGCATGGATGAGTGAAATAAAAGAATTTTCTACTAGTGATAAATTAAAAACAGCTTTGATGAGTAAAAGTTTATATCGCAGTCTTTGTGAAATGCAAGTATTTAAAACTACTAAAACTATAGTTGATACAATTTACGTATTCAGTTAGGTTTCTGAAGCATTCCGAAAACAAATCAATTTAAAAATTTTTATCATAAATTTCATTAAGAAAATATTCTTTTGTGGTATGTAGAAGGGCACTGAAAATCAATAATAAGATTGGATAAATTTCGGCGCGAAATTCAATCAAGTTTTGAGTAAATTTTGCAAAAATCAATAAGATTCGGGTAAATTTCGGCGCGAAATCCATTGCATAGGAGGTTTATGATTTGCTCATCACCTGAAATTATTACCCAATAAACACAAAATTTCAGAACACAATAAACTTGATTATTCTAAAATCATACTTTTTCGACTAGCATGGATGAGTGAAATAAAAGCGTTTTCTATTAGCGATAAATTAAAAATAGCTTTGATTAGTAAAAGTTTATGTCGCAGTTAAAACTATCTAAAATTATAGATGATACAATTTACGTATTTGGTTGGGTTTCTGAAGAAATTTCGAAGACAAATCAATTTAAAAATTTTTATAATAAATCTCATTAAGAAAAATTCTTTTGCAAACTGCCCCTGAAAATCAATAAGATTTGAAGTAATTTCGCAAAAATCAACAAAACTTGGATAAATTTCGGCACAAAAATAAACCGAATTATTAACCAATAAACACAAATTTTCAGAACATAATAAACTTGATTA